TCAACTCTGAAGACTGAAGATTTGATAACTCTTTTTTTTTTTTTTTTTTTGGTACCAGGGATCAAACTTGGGACCTTGTGCTTTCAAGGCAGGCGCCAGAACCACTGAGCTAAATCCCTGGCCCTAATGCGATGGAAACTTTTGTTGTGTTTCGTTTTCCACTACAGGAGATTGAACCCAGGACTTTCACACTGAGCTACATCCCCTTCCCTTTTTTCTTTTTAATTTTGAGACAAGCTCTCACTAAGTTACTCAGCTAGGCTTGAACTTGAGATCTTCCTGCCTTAGCCTCCCTCAGTGCTGGGATTACAGGTGTGTGCCACCATGCCTGCCTATGTGATTGAAATTTAAAAACACAAAAACCAAAACAAGCCAGGATTGGCTTTATCTCTTACAAATGTTGAAAAGAGCCCCCTTTGTATGCTGTTAAATCAAACACAAACCATGAGAGATTTAACTGTTTTATCCCTTAGGACTACAGGTGTATTGCAGTGTAAAAATGTAAAAACTAGGTACCTGGTGGTATTTTGCACTTCTCAGTGAGCTTCTAAAGGCAGAGCGTGTTGCAGTCTGGGGTGGAGAAAGTCTGTGCACACAGCACACATCTCAGGTCCCATCCGGAGGACTCTGAGGCCCCTGGGAGCAAAGCCACCTGCCCAGGCTGTGTCACCAGTGCCCAGCTGCCTCTGTAAGCTGCTGCATTGGTGTTGCTGTGTTGGAGTCTCGAGACTGCAGAAACACAGCTGCAGCAGAGGTGCAAACCAAGGGCACCCAAAGGAGCCTTAGTCCACTGAATAGAACCTCAGCTGACCAAGCATCTCACTCCCCACACCTGTGCTTCCCCAAGGACCAGCAGGCACCACCTGCTGATTCAGAACCCCGGGAATTTCGAGAGGCCTCTCTGGGCCTGGGCCCTGCCGCTTCCTAGCACTGACTTGGTCCTAAGAGTTGGCTTCCAAAGCGCCTCTTGAACCCACTCACTTCTCTCCAGGGATCTGTCCAACCTGTCCCAGCCACACCATCACCCATTGGACAGGAGGCAGGCGAAGACCCTCCTGCACCCATCCAGGGAGCTCCCCACTCGTGTCCAGCCTCGCCCAGAGCTGTTCTTGTCCCTCTGCTGGCACAGCAGCATCTTCTTCTGCACAGGGAGTCTCCCCAGCCCAAGCTGGGAGCGAGATCCTCTGTCCCCTTTAGGACAGAGTCACATGTCCCTACCTCAGGAATCTTCTCTGCATCCCCATCCTTTTCTCCTCTGTGGAGCTTGTGATAACTGCAATTACAGATTCCCTTGTGTGGTTATTTATTTATCTTTATCTATTTAGTTAGGGGTTTTTTTGAGACAAGGTCTTGCTATGTAGCCCAGGCTGGCCTCGAACTCAGGGCAATCCTCCTGCAAGCTCAGGTGCTAGGATCACAGGTGTGTGCCACCACACCTGGCTTATATTTCTATACTTTTATGTGACTGATAGTGCAATAGTTTGCTTCCACCAGCCCTCCTGCAAACACACGCATATAAAGTGTTGCTCTATGACCTTACTATCCAAGATGACAGGAATTTTTTGGTTCCATTATAATCTTATGGGGCCACCATTATATGTGAGCCTGCTGTTGACTGACCTGTGATCATGTGGTACACAACTGTATCAGGATTTGAACCCAAGACTCCAAAATCTACTTGGTAATATATGAAAAAACATACATCTGAGGCAGAAAAATCACTTATTTTGCCTGAGTTACCCCTTCTATCCCATCCTTGGGGCCACTCTGTTCTTTGCCCGATTCTTTGCCACCTCTTTCAGTTTTATTAAAGTCACAGGCACTTCTGAAATCTCCATGTTTAAAAGATGGGTAAGATCCAGTTCTTCACCTCAAGAACAGGGGCTGGGGTCAAGCTCAGTGCCCAGCAAGTATGAGATCCTGGGTTTAATCTCTATTTTAAAACAAAATGACAGCTTGGTTTTAGGAGAAATAGCCATTTCAGCTCTCAGTCTTGAGATTGTTGGGACTGTTTCAGCTGGAAGTCACAGGAACTCCACTGAAACTGGCTTAGCATGAAAAGGAAGGTACTGGCTTCTGTGCATCACAAAGTGAAGATGTTTGATGAGACTTTGGGCATGGCTGTTTCTAGGGGCTCAGTGTCTTCTTGATGTTCCTCTCTGTCTCTATCTTGCAGGTCTATTTTCTGTGCTGGGTTTGCTCTTGGCTAAGCTCTCTGCACCTGGTGGCAAAGATGACCTCAGGCAGCCCTGGGCTCATGTGGGTCTTACACACACTGTCTCTGGAAGAGACGGTCCTTCCCACCAGCAGGAGGACGTGCTCATCAGCCCAGCTTGGGTGACAAGCTTCTCCCTTATTACTGCTGTGGCCCTGAGGGTGGAAGTTCTGGTGGCCAGGTGCCCATGAAGAGCTGCCCTGGGTCGGCACTGCCCATTCCACCAGTCCCTGAGGGGAAGGAGCCCTCTGTTTGCTGTGTCTCCTGCTCATGAGGTGTGAGCGCTGTGGGGACCATGGTGTCCGAGTCTGCAAGTGCTCAGGAAATACTGTTGGGTAAGCGGAAGTGAGATCGGGAAAAGCTTCCTGGACAAGGTGGTGGCCAAAGGAGGGTGGACGTTTTTCATGTCTCAGGAAGACTGAATTTATCATTTTCACCTCTTCTAAGCATGCAGTTCAGTGGCATTAAGTGCCTTCATGTTGTTGTGCAACCATCACCTTGATCCATTTCCAGAACTTTTTCCATCTTCAGACTGAAACTCCATGGCCGTTAAGTTTTTTTTTGGTACCGGGGATTGAATTGGGACCTTGCGCTTGTGAGGCAGGCGCTGGCACCACTGAGCTAAATCCCCAGCCTGACATCAAGTATTAACTCTCATTTCTCCTTCCCCCCAGGCCCTAGTGACCCTTCTACTTTCTGTCTCTGTGAGTCTGGCCACTCCAGGGACCTCATCTACGTGGAACCACACATACTTTGTTTTTTTATAGCTGCTTTTTTTCTACTTAGCATAAGGTTTTCAAGGTTGATCCGTGTTATAGCAGGGACAGGATGAACTGGGGGTACACCAAGGCCAGGGGGCAGGCTGGCACCCACTCACATCACAATGACCTGGGCCTGCGACCAAACAGCTTCCTCACACAAGTCAGCTCATCTCAGTGACAGCTGTGGGACCACAACAGGACCCTTGTGCTGCAGGGACACGACACCTGGGGCTGGAAGGGCAGGAGCAGCCTCGGCTGGAGGAAGGAGGGGTAAGCAATGTCCACACTGCAGCTGGTCTCTGGCCCCAGGAAAGCAGCTCTCCACACACAGAAATCAGGGGACAAAGTGGCCCGCTGAGGTCTGGCTACTACCCTGTTGGCCACAGCCTGCTGACCAGAGTGAGGCCTGGGGCAGGGTTCCCTGGGCATAGTGTAGTCCTCTGCAGGACCTTAGGGCAACTGTGCACACACAGTGGGGTAAGCTCATCAGGGATCTCAGGGGGCCGAGGAGGAGCTGCAGGGCTGGACCTTCGAGCTGCTGTTCCCCCACTGGGACTGCAGAGCCCCAGACTTTCCTCACCTGGAACCCCTGCTCCCAAGCTGGGGCTGCTGAGTCCTCTGCCTGGGCCTTTCTTGCTCCTCTAGGCTGGGGGGGGGGCTGTGTTCCTAGGAGAGCCCCCCTCTTCTGTGAGCCTTCCCCTCAGTGGCACTGTGTCAATAGCTTGCAGGGGTCTGTGGTGGGGGAAACTTACACCCAGCCATCAGTGGACACTGGACACTACACAGGCATCAGTGGAACTTATACCCAGGCATCAGTGGACAAACCCAGCGCTTGTGTTTGCCAAAAAGATGACTGTTAAACATTTACCTGCACACCACTTGCCCTTCTATCTGGTTTACCTGGTAAAATGGATGTTTTAAGAGTCTCACTGCATCCTCTTTGTCCCAGGGCCCCTGTCCAACAGTCCCTCTCTCCCTGGACCCCTCCAGCCCTGGCTGATGGGGTAATCTGCAGGACGGGACCCAGGGGAGGTGGGCACAACGGACAGAGAGGCCCAGGACAGCTGTGCTTGGCTGGCACGGGTCAGGGAACAGCAGCTGCTTCTTGTGCTGTGGGTGAGCAGGGATAACCAGTTTGTCTGTCTAGGTCCTTTGCCATGGCAGGTGTGGTGTACCCCAAACAGGTAAGCGCTGTGAGTTTCTGTCCCTGTGACTGTCTCAGGGCCAGGCAGCCTCATAGGCAGGGGAGGGCTAGGCTCTTTGGGGCTCCATCTCTCATCATTGTGGAATGATTTTTTTTTAATAGACAAAGGAGATCTACATGTTTACCGTGCTCTGGGGTTTTTGTTTTTTGATTTAGCATGCATTTATTAGGCACCCACAGTGTGCAGGCATCTGTGTTGGATTTTGGGGCTGCACAGGTGCCTAAAATAGGGTCTCAACCCAGTGTATTCATTAATTTCTTCCGCATACACCCCAGCATGTGCTGCCTTGGGGTGGGTGGGCTGCAAACTCTGCTATCCAAACAGAGGGGGAAGGGGTTGACTCTTGGAAAGTGGAGAATTAAAGGGTGGACACAGCAAAAACCTGATCTGTACAAAGGTGAAACTGGAAAAGATATATGAGTTCCATGTTCCTCAGGAACTCGGAGCACTTGCCAGGCGGGAAGAAATGAGTAGAGAACAGAAGGCGAGGGAGGTGGTATCAGGGGTAGAGAAGCCAGGTCCTGAGGGCTCCTAATGCCACCCAAGTTAGCCTTTGTTCTAGAAACAATGAAAAGCCATCCAATGGCTTTATGTAAAACAATGACAAGATGCAACTCCTGTTTTGTAATCCCTCCTGTCCTCCAGGGCCCTGTGGATTTAGACATATACCAAAGCTCCCACGTGGTGGACTATAAGCCCTACGGGAAGCAAAAATACTCTACGGCCACGCTGCAAGAGGTAGGAAGGCATTCCAGGCTTGTCACTCATTCAGTTGTCCCCTGCAGTGGTATCTATTTCATTTGTTGTCTGAATGTGGACATGGAGGCACTTACTTAAAATAACATTGGGTGCCATGTGACCTGACTTAGAGGCCTTTTGTGTGTTCATGAGCATGCATGTACTAAAATGCACATGAAGACAAGCCATGCACACAAAAGATTGTGAGTAATGCAAATGGATAGCTTAAGTAACACTGTAAAACAAACCCTGTTTGAACCATAATCAGCCAGCTTCAGACAGAGCCCATGAATGAATGCTACCTCAGAGTCTCTGTGTACTGCCCAGCCCTGCCCTCCCCACCCGCCAGAGGAACCCAACACTCTGGGTTTGGGCTTAATCATTCCTTTCTGTCTTTTTTTTTTCTTTTCTGCCTTGTTTTCTAAAAAATATTTTTACTCTGTATGTATGTATTACTTTACACTTGATCTTAGACAAAAGGCCAAGAAGCTATATGTATGTATTACTTTAAACAAATCGTTTAGTTTTGTTCTTTTTTTTTCATTTGGTATACGTTAGATTCTTTGTACTCTTCCATGGCTTCTATTTTTAAACATCATTGTTCACTAGAGAAACAGATTTATATATACAGCATATGATACATATA